GTTGGACCGGATGGGAAAAGAAGGAAAACGTCTGATATATCCAAACAAATTTAAATAACGGTTATGACGATACGTGCATTTATCACGTTATGCTCTTTTTAAAGAGAAGTTAGTCCTTGGTAGATGGTGAAGATTTAAGACAGGCGCGTTCGCAGGCCCTCCGATGTTTGAAACGGTTGGCGTTGCCTCCGCAACCACTGTAGACAAAATTGATACACTGACCCGTTTTGGGGTTAAAGCCCCAAGCTCTGATGTGCGATCGACAGGGTCCTACCTCAATGGGCAGGCTGCAGATATCCTCGTTTCCTAAAGTCAAACAGATTTTATTTGGATTTCGCAGGTTATTGTCCATGGTTGTGTTAAACTTCCACAAAATTGTGTAGTATAATTGGTATGGGAGACACGTCTGCAATATTGACCAATGCGGATATCAAACAAAGAGTTGTTTTGGATCCAAAGAACATAACCAAACGTTGGTCAATCCTTCCTCATTTCGGGTTTACCGCTTAATTCTCCTTCCACCATCTACTATTGCATTGTCGTCGGTCACATGTCAGCAACAAAATCCTCCTCTGATATCAGCTCCCATAATCGCTACCGAAATTGCAAACACCTAGTCTACTGATTTGCATCTAGTGATTTGAGTCAATTAACCTATTAGACTGTCAGTACGTCATACACCATTGGTGATGAAGTACCTCATGCACCTCCTTATGCTTATCTCACGAAGATGAAAGCAGGGTAGAGGATTCGGAGTGAGAATTAGATAGGCATTAGAAGGGAGGAGGCTGGACTTTTCTGGTAGTATAGTACTGTTGCACTGAAATTTCTGCAAGCCTGACACTTTAAATCATGCTTACGTACTAGTGCATATATACATGTTGCCTAACGAAGAAAGCTGATATCACGCTGTCATGTGTAGACTTGAGTGGCGATTGGTGAGTCTAATGGACACTTTACTCGATGGAAGTGTAGTGAAGAGAGACAAAAAGGGCACAAAATACACAATAAACGGTGTCCACTTACCTTGACTGAAACTGGCAACACAGAGTAGCATGAGGAGTAGAAGTGCGAGATTGGTCATTGTGATGCAGTGGAGCAGTCACCTTGCTCTGTGTGAGAGCACCCTTCCCCTTATATACGCAATTCGAATGTGTTTGTTTGATTAGATCAGAAAGGTAAACCTTGTGTAGTGCAGTTCCTACGATCTAACCATAGTAAGCGATACATGTAGCAATTTTAAAGAAAGTGTGCCTTTGGTGCAGTACAATGTTTCATATTGCAGGATTAAAAGTTGGCTCTTTAAGACTATGGTCATATAAATCTAAAGGCAGTATATTCGTCTACGATGGTTGCCGTGACAAATCCATTCCATTCCAACTTCTCAGGCACTAAGCAATTTATATCCGCCTTTAAGTATAAATCGACTTAAAGCAGAATTGGATCATTTCTGTGGTGTGTTATATTGCAATGTCTGAAGGCAGGAGACTTCTGGAGACACAACATGAGCCCCGTCTGTACATTTCATTTAAGTCATCATGTACTTCAATATTCCAAACAATTTGCTGTCCCAGTTGTCGCAAGTGAAATGCACAGAATAATCCGATGTGGAATAAAGTCCCTATCACTCTACATTGATGTGAGTGGTTTGGATAAAAATTGGGTGATAGAGGATTCCCCTACCACCTGGTATCCATTTTCCTCGATGTTTGAGGCTGAAATGTTCGTTTCCTAGGCAACTGCGTTATTCCCTGTATGAGTACCAATGCACATGTTGCATCCTATTCGACAGCTGCCCTCTTTGAACATCCGCGTCTCGATCGGTGCCGGAAAAACCCTATCTTATGCTGAAAATTACAAGAATAGTTTGACAATTTCACAAGCCTTTATTCAGTATTTATAAAGGATCGAGTATTTTTTAACTATTATTTGATCAGAGAGAAGTTCATGTTCCTATAGGTGTAAATTTTTAACACGACACGCTTGTATTCCATCTTCTCTTTGAATCGGTTCGCGTTGCCTCCACAACCACCGTAGATGAAGCACTCACACTGATCTGATGCAGGATTGTAGCCCCACACTCTAAAGTAGGCTATGCAGAGTCCAGTCCTCATTAATAGGCCGCAGACATCCTCCTCACCTGAACCATCGCCAGATTTCATCTCATTCACTTAAGAATTTCAGAAATGCACTGTCGATAGCAGTGAATGCAAGGAAGCGAAAGGACATTGAACTAGGCGCTGTTTTGAATTCGAAGCACTTAATCAAATGCAGGTGAGTTCTGTCATATTCTTAATTTTTGACCTACTCTCCTTCCCGAAAATGATGTTACGCTATTACGGTTGGACTCACGATGACGGTTAATGCATAGTGGGTCCAATTGACACATTCTTGAGACTTTCCCGTTCTATCCCTACTCCTATCCAGCTTTGTAGCTTGACAAATCACAGGAGGAGAGCTTGAATGTCGCCCTGCTGAATGATATCCAAAGCCTCTCCTTGTGGTGATTGGGGAGGTGTTAATAGATAAAGCAAACATTGTGGGGAACAATGTGTGGTGCTGTTGGGCTGATTGGCATTGACTGTTGCGGA